TCATATCAATGTCATTTGATCTCAAAATGGCATTGGTTGACATGCTCAGTAATAAACTGGTAGATCTCATGATATATTAGGACAAAAATGACCACCAAGCAGAAGCCAGTTAACTTTGTAATCTCATCAGTAAAACACAGTTCATACTAGAACAATAGTGACTGCTTTAAACTAAATTAAAAACAATTTAAGAAGTAGAGAAGGGAACTAAAGGGGAGATAGTCAAAGATTTCACAGTCTTTTTCAACACTGCCCACATGATTAAAAATCTATAATAACAAAGTGTTGCAGAATCTATTGTAAACATACATGAAAGGCAACACATTCCAACTGCATTTACACACACAAAATACTGAATTATGCTGTGTGATGAACTCACAAATTCTTTTGGGGAAAAGTACTTGGGTAACTCTGGTGACCCAAGCACTTTGAATTAACTAAGCCCAAGTAATTTGATATACAGTCAATTCCATTTAATTAGGCCAAATCTAAAAGAACAGAAACCAAACTAATAAATTAATACATAATTTAAATGTTTATTTGGGATAGTAGCAGAAAAGGAATTTAGAAATTTTTTATATATTTTAGAGATCTTTTGAAAATATGCCAACACTACATATAATAATTTGTAGGATTAACAGTTTGCAGAGACAAAGCAATTTTGTCTTTTTGCTCAGGCTGTTCGGTTTTTTTGGAGGGTATCAGCATAGCCTGATGTATCGCACTGGGATCCTGTCTGAGGTGAACCTGAATGCGAGCTATTGACCCTGCTCCAGATTGGACTGGATGATCCCCTTAAAAGCGAAGGGACAAAGATCCCCTGACAATTTTTTGAGGTCTCTTGACCAAGTTGGAAGACAACTAGAGTATCTTAGGAAGGTGTGCATGATTACAACTAGACTCAGACAACAGCCATCTGAGTGTTGGGACCAGCATCCAGAGCTGCAGATTCTACGAATGCTTTCACCAAAGTGGCCCATCTCCAAGTAAAGGCCATAAGGTGGCTTTTAAACAAACCCAGACATGTTCTAACTAAAAAGGAGGAAAGGAAAGATCATTTGATCAAAAATGGATTGAATTGTCAACCCTTGTGTAGGTCACTACTAATATTTGGCAACACTAGCGTGATGCGAATCAGTTACCTATCATCATGAGTATGGCAAATTTATAGTACAAATATTTTGTATATTTTGGTTTAATAAAGCATTAAAATAGGCACCTAATTATTATTTCTTTTACCTGCTTATTTATTTACTTACATATTACATATTTTATTTTAAAATTTGTTATTAGTTTGTTTAATTGGGACAGCCGCTTAATTGGGCCAAAACAGATTAGTCTCAACATGTCCCAATTAAGCAGAATTGACTTTATTTGTAAAAATAATTTATTATTATTAGTAAACTTTTTAAATGAAATTTAATCATTATTTAGTTTTACCTTAATTAATCTTCCATTATCCATGTAGCATCTAAAATACATTAAACTGAGATTATAATATCTAATTTTGAAATTATATGATTGCAATCAGTACACCACTTAAATAGGAAATCCTTACAGTGATATGGCTCCTTTTCAATCAATATCAGTTTGAATTACATTAATAAATTGCATAGGAGTTTTATCTGCTGACTATGTCAGATAACTAATGGATATTTGTGTTAAAGTAGTAAACCTGATATGAATAACAGAATATTAAAAATCGAATGCTAAAAAAATGTGAAGTTTCTTCTTTTATTTAATAGATAGAAGAACAAATGAATTATATATTATCACAATTGAAGTGATAGAGAGACAAATTTAACCCTTAACTGGTATCGTAAATTTTTCAAACGTAACTGGTTTCATGGGGGCTGCGCGGCCCCCAAGCAAAATTTGCCTTTAGAGAGCAAGTTTAACAATGTGACAGTTCAAAAGGGCATAAATGCTAAATGAAACCCTTCTTTAGTATAATCAACTTTTATTTATTTATATAATTTTCTTTACTTAATTATTACAAGAGATCACAAAATTGTTACAAATTTTGGTGTATGCTTATTTTAACAATACAAAAATTTACCATATTGTAAGTTTATACCAAAGATATTTTTTTTTCTTATTCTTAAGAAACTAATCTTATAAAAAAGTATCTTTTATAGCCTCTAACTATCATTTGTTAAAAAACCACAGGTAATATAATCACTTGTATTTTTAAGACTCAGGAACATTTTAACGCGATTACGTAGTTCAGTCTTGAGAGTTATCACATAGTATTTTTGTAATACTATGCACTTTGCAAATAAATTTCAAACAACTGTTGCACTTAGTAGCATATTTACCATCTTTTTTTCCAGCACAAAATGACAACATACTCTTTTCAGAAGATTTCGGCTTGATCTAGCAATTTGTATATTATCATCATCTATTAGCAGTTCAAATGATTCTTTGGTAGTCATTTTGAATTTTTGATGCAAGATTGAGATATCTTTGCAAAATAATTGTAAAAATTAAAAAAAACATAAAAACACATTTCCACAAAAAACCAACGTAACTGGTATCGTGGGGGCTGCACAGCCCCCAGAAAATACGTAGCTCCATCTTTGTAAGTGCTACAGGGCCAAACATTTGGCACTCGCTAAAAGTCGCGACGTAATGAGATTACATGAAATGGCAGCTGCACACGATATTTAGATTTTTAGAAAATCATAAAAATATGACGCGTGGGGGCCGCGCGGCCCCCAAGAAACCAGTTAAGGGTTAATCAAAGTTTTTTAGACCAAAACTTATTACAGAATTCAATATATCGATTCAATCAGAGACAAGTTTATGGTAAATAAAACAATTGTCTTTTGATGGAGGAACCACCTAATTTCTAAAATCTGTACTAAAAAACAATGGTTAAGTAAAATGATTCTCCTTTAAAAATCATACAATGTAAATGTCAGTTTAGCATGAATAGTTGTTCACCAGGAATACCCCTCTCTAGCAGAAAAACAATTTTATTTCTTAATGTTTAATTAACTAGATAATATAAAGGATCTTTCTCTAATCAAAAACAAACCAGAAAACTGATATCTGAAAAATAAGGAACAACTTGCAATGATAAAATGTATATTAATTAAATAAATAAAACAACAATTCTATCAGATAATTCACTGCATGTAATGCATGTAAATAATATTAGTGATTATGACAGTAAAATAAAACACTTATTTTCAGAAGACTTTTAAAATAACTTTGATAAGCATTCTAATTAAAGATTGAGTCTCCAGATCTTATTATTCAAAATCCTTTGACTTTGTTGATTACTAGTCAAATAAACTTTTAAATCCATTTTGATTGTTTTAAATGTGATTGGTGTCTTCAAAACTGATAAAATTCTAATTTTTAGAGATAGAGTGAGTGAGTGTATGAATGCATGCAAACACGCTCACTCATACGCATATGAGTTTTTTATAATAAAAATAAAAAAATAAATGTAATAAGTTTTTATTTTTGTTATTAAAAAAACTAAAAGCTGTCAAGTTGAAAAGAATCAAAAGATTTTGAATGATGATAAAATCTGAAGATGAGAGTCAATCTGATCTGTAATTTTGATTAAAAGAGTTGGAGAAAGATTTAATAGTAATAGATGCTTACTGATTGGAACAATGTGAATGTAAAAATGTGTTGACTGTATTAATAACAACCATTGAAAAATCATCACTTTTATAATTAATTATGAAAATTATATTTATTTATTAAATTATATATTCAGAGTACTTCTAAATTTCTAACATTTAAAAATTTAATATTTTTGTGCATTCTACAGTAATAATGAATTCAATCATCATTAACTTGAACCTCTTCAAATATTACACAATAAAATAACAAAAGATCTGATTAAAAACCAATTTTCATTATTGATTACTACACACAGTAGTCAATAATGAAAATGCCTGGTTTCAATAGTTTTCTGTTTGAACACAAACTAAGAATTGAAGCACTAGCAAGCCAATAATATTGTTCTGGGGGCTATCTACAGCAATCACTTACCATTACTAGAACAGTGATTTTATCACTGGCATAAAAAAGAATTTAAAAATTTCATGTGCTCGTGACCTTGGACATTTTTTACTTTGACCTCACTGTATCTTGAACTTGTATCATATACCTCGATTTTTATTACATTCTCAATTTCTTCATCTCACATGTAAAGTGACAAAAAAAAGTTTAATTAAAATTGATTGATCAAATTTTGAGAATGAACTCAATTCTATAAGCCACATACAAGATGCTTCACTAACATTCAAATATTTTCAGGACTAAAGTTTGGAACATCTGAAGTTAATGTTACAATTTTCTAGTAAGTATATTTTAATTAAGAAAAACAGTAATCTTGCATAGTCAACAAATGAAGACTACTAGAAAACAACAGTGTAACCAAAGTTCTTTTTAAATGCAATAGAATAAAACATCAAAGTATGATGAATTTTACAATATTCATGAAAAGAAAGTATAAAAATAGGTTATAGATAATTTTTATGTACACTAGTATTTCCTTAAATTATGTTATCTGAAATGATTGATAAATTTTATATTTAAGAAGTTTTAAATACAAAGCATTTTAACTTTAAAGAGGATCGTATACATTAAAATATACTCATTTTAAATAAATGTAATAAAGCTTCTGTCTGTAGATTCAGTGCTGAGAAGTAGAATGTAATAATATTGAAAATTACACTTTGTATTATAGAAGATATATTACTATTTAGTTTTATATGAATAAAAAAGAAATTTCAATATAAGCTCAATGGACTACAATTGTAATTTGTATATCAACATCACAAACCCATAATATACCTAACCCAACATTAATTATATGAATAATTTATACAGAAATTATTCCTGAAAGATATCCACCCTACTAAGTATGGAAATAAAAAAACTCAGTTTATAATTCTGTAATATTTTCCTAAAAATTATTTTACAGTATTTGAATGTTAATGTATTCAATATTAAATAAAATAAAAAGTACTCACTCCATCAGGTTTTTCATCACCAACTCCATTTTCATTTCCATTAATCAATGAATTTCGTTTGATGCTTGAAGATGGAATACTTTCTAATTTATAACTTTCTTGATCACTCCATTTTCTTCTGGGTGCATGATATGAATCACCAGAAGAATATTTATATCCAATTCTTTTTTGAACAGCTGGAACAGGAGGCGAAGAACACAAATGTGGCATGAAAATAGGAGAACGAGGCATGAAAGTTTCTTGACTATGCCATTTTTTACGCATAGAAGGATGATGAGATCGACCATCAAGATAACTAAAATTTCTAGAATGAGTTCTTATTGGCCATGATTCAGAAAACTGAGTTAACAGATTATCAGTACTTTGTGTTAATCTTCCTGGAAGTTTTGATTCTGTAGGAGAATCTGAATAAAAACCTTTATTTGTTTCTTTATCTCCTGATCTTACAATAATATCATCGGCAGAATTATAATTTTCTTGTCGATTTTTTCTAACAAGTTTAGAAACATGTTGACTATTATTGTAATGATATCTAGATAAAAACAAATTTCGTCAATATTAGTTACTTTTAACCATTTATTTTTAGCTTAAAATAAAAAGTTTAGTATAAAAAAAAATGTTTTGTTTAATTAATCTAGCTTGAAAAAAGGACAAAACCTATCTCTACTCTAGGAATCAGAAAATAATTTAATTTGGATATCATATAAAGTTGAAATTTTTTCTTAAAAAATTTCAATGACATGCAATCCAGTCATGCATTTGTTAATATTCTATGTATTCAATTTTGTTTTGTGTATATAATGGTGAAGCATGGAACTTTAAAAATGTTTATCCAAAATAAATGTTTTATTTACTCAGTTTAATTGAAGTTTAGTTAAATTTACATTACTCATAAAATATTAATTATTCTATATTAGATGTAAACTTCATGACATGAGATATTCTATCAAAGAAAGAAACTAATTCACAAGGAAACTGTAAAAACACTTGATCTAATTTGCAAGAATGTGTATGCACATTATTATGCAAAATCTAAGTATCATCTATATTGATATTAATTTATAAAATTCAAAGTTAATAAAAAAAAATTGTATGAAATTTTTTTAATAGTTGATAAATATGTTAAATTCAAAGACCAAAAATGCTTGATGAGTGAAAAAAATTATCAGAATATGTTGTGGCTTTATACAAACAGCTATAATAAGAAATTTCACATTCTGGCTCATGTAAAAAGCCACAACAAGTTGTGGTATTTACAAATGTGATACAACTTGTCACGAGTCTTTAAGCATTCATATCGTGCCAGTTAAAAATATGACCACAATGCATTACAGCATTATCAACATACCATACAGTGCATCCTGGTTATTTTCTGTTTATTCTGTAGTACAAATAAAAAATTTAGGATACATGATTAAATATTTATAATAATTAAGAACAATGGCCAAGTTTACTTTTGCAGGAATTTTAGATTGACATTTAGAATTACAGTTGATATCTTCCAAAAAATATTTATAATGCAGCTTATGCAGTACTGCTTACTTCCAGACAATATATTTGAAGCCAACCAAAGAGATAGTGAATTTGAGAAGACATCATTGATGACGTTATTGTTATTGTCAACAGTTGTAAACTCATTGTGTGCATTGTTGTTCAAATTTCTTTTTTGTACACTTTCTGCTGTTTTGAAAATTAAGGGTATGTATTTTATACCCGTTCGTTCAGGCCACTATGGGAATGGTCAGGCCAATCTAATAAAGGTTAAAATGATGGACATATTCAGACAGACTACTCATAAAAAATCTGGAGATGTATCCAGATCAAACCAGAATCCTCAGGTCAGATCCACACCTTAGGGCACGTGTACATATTCACTATTCATTGAATGCCAAGCAAACATTTGGCGAATACAGAATAGTGTAGATGATTTACTTATGGCAAATTTTCGATGTTTGCTATTTCTTGATTCTTATTGGAAAATTGTGCCAAAACAAAAGAGAAGGATGTTTGCTTCTGCATATTTGTATTGTCCATCCACACTACTCAGCATTTGGCGAGTAGCAAATGTATGGATTTGGTCATAAGTGTTTCCATTTTAATCTTTTTTAAACTAGAGCTAGTCTTTTATTTTTGAATTTAGCTCATTTTTTCAATTTTGTTTATAGTTTAAATATTTATTTTATTTTTTTCTATGTAGTTTTTTCCTGCAAATTAGTTTTATTGTGTTTTTTCTTTTTAAATTCCTTTCTTTTTCATATTCACATTTTTCTGCATTGGTGACATGATACCATCCACTATCTTCTTTCAAGTTTTTTTTTTTTTTTCATTAACAGATATGAACTACTCAACTATATATAGCATTAGCACAAATTATTGTATGAGTATTTCCCATTTTCTAGCTCTTGGATGAACATTTCTTGTTCCCGCAATAAACTAATGTTCAGCAAATAATTGAATGTGTGCTTCGCAAAGTGACAAACAGATCAGCAGATAGTTTGGCAAAAGGCATTAGATGAATAGCAAATGTGTGGACATACACTTAGACAACTTGATTATCCAGTCGGATTCTAAATAGCATTATTTTTTTTCAGGTGCAGAAAATTTAATAGTTGCATGAAAGCAAATTGCCAACTTCACTGAGAAAATAAACTTTTAATTTTTTTACACATAATTTACAAAAATTCACATTCTCCTAAAATAACTGCAAATGATGTTCTGTTCTTCATGCAGCAAAATCATTTCTGCAATCAAAACTGCATGTATAGTGTGTCAAGAAACCATTCTTAGTCTTTGACATTTTTGGTAGTAGCACTGGGTAAAGGTACAGAACAGCTGGGTGATAGTCAAGTGGAAACAGAAACTTACAGATTTTTGCACACTTAGCAAATGATTTGGCAGATTTTTTTAAAATTTTTTGGTAAATATTGGTAATATATAAATATAAATCACAAGTTATCAAAATTTATGAATTTTTATAAATGGACTATGAAAATTTCAAAAACACATATGATGATTACAAAAGAACAGTAGTAGGTTATTAATATCAGCACAAATGTAGATGCGAGAGACGAACAGACCCCCCACTAAAGTGTTATTTTAAATTTTAATTATTGGGAAATTCAATCATCTAAATTCGAGCGTTTTATCAAGTTAGGCTAAAAGCCATAAAATTTATTTCCCACGAAGTTGATTCCTTGTTCAGGAGGATCCAGCTAGTCAGTGATGTGTCACCCGGAACTTTTGATAGAGTGCCCATATTGGATGCCAGACCATTAACAACCTCCTGACCTCCTGGGAAAAACCTAAGAGGAATAACAAGAGAAAACGGAAAAAACACCCGAAGTCAGTCGTCTTCCAAAGTCCGTCCACCCAAAGTCGTCCTCAAGGATTAATACCGTGACCAAGAATCCAGAATAAACCCGTGACAAAGATCGGGCCTCTTTAAGGATATCATCCCCTCTTCCGTGCCTCCACACCGTAGTGCTCCTGTTACCGGACCCTCTAAAGACCCAGAACAATTTCATCGGACCTTGAACATTCCATCGATGGGATATCCAGTCATCATATAACAGATTCAACTCAGTTAAAAGGTATTTATCAACCCGCGATTCGTTTGTAAACTCTCTCTCTCGAACGGCCTAGTATAATTAGGGGCTATGCCAGAAATTGAATATATCTGTATTTTCTTTTGTTATAATTAAAATTGTTATTTATTTGTTACTATGGAGTCCGAGTGAGTCACTTCCTTGTCTCTCTCCTCACCTCTACTCCGAATCCAACCACTCACCCGCTACCGCTTGCGTGACATAACGTCGCGATTTCTGAGTCTGGTGTCACATCCTGATGTGGTGTCAAAGAGACACCACCCTACGGTCACATAGATATTATTATGAAGCCAACCAAAGAATTTTGAGAAAAGTTTTAAATTACAATAGGGAAAAGGTAATAGAATATTTATGTGGTATTGCAAATAACTATAATATGAATTAGTAAATTTAAAATAAAAATTTTCTTTGAATCTTATTTACTTTTTTATTTTAATGTAAGTTATATATGTAACATGTGTAAATATGTTTATTAATAATAATTTGTAATTAACAAAGAAAAAATAGTTTTTCCAAAATTCATTTATTTTAATATTGTGCAATTATACCTTTTCATTTTAAAATCATTTTCAGGCCATATTTTTTGTTTTTTTTAACCATCTCTTTTTAAATAATTCTACAAATTTTGATTTATGACATAAACAAATATTTATTAACTAGCTGACTCGTTAAATAAATAATACTGTCTTTCCTTAAAATTCTTTAACAATTAAATTATTATTTCAGCAACCTAATAGTGCTGTTTTTCCCCAAACTTATCATGATGACTTTTGTGTGTTATAACACTCTTTTTATTATTTTTAAGTACTTTTAACAAAATACATTTAGGACTCATATCATCCCTCTGCAGTTGTTACATATTAAACTGTACAAAACAAAGGTACAAATAAATTCTCAATTTTAATAACACAAACTAAGACAATAAAATTTAAACAATAACTTACATTTGGTGTACAAACCATATTATTAAATACACGTTTGGCTTTCAAATCTTCAAATACATTATTAAAAGCAACAAGACACATATCATACATATTTGAAGATTTGAAAGCCAAATGTGTATTTGATAATATGGTTTGTATACCAAATGTAAATTTAACTTATTGTTTATATTTTATTATCTTAGTTTGTGTTAATAAAATTGAGAATTTAGTTGTACCTTTGTTTTGTACAGTTTAATATATAACAACTGTATAACTGAAGAGGGATAATATGAATCCGAAATGCATTTTGTTAAGGTACTTAAAAAGAATAAAAAGAGTGTTATACAAAAGTCATTGTGATAAGTTTGGGAAAAAACAGAACTATTAGGTTGCTGAAATGATAATTTAATACAAATCTAAACAAGAAGATAAATGAAGAATACAAGTTTTTTAACAATGCTAAAATTAGCACTTTGATGATAATAAAATAACCACCTTAGTGATAGTAAAAACAAGCACTTTAGACATCATATTGATGTCTTCTTCAGGTTATATCCTTCTGATGTTCTATCAGATGACATGAAAGTTTGTAGCACCTATAGAATATTGTCTTGTGTCTGTGCTTATTTGTTGTAAAGAAACCATAGAGATGTCTGACTTCTCCAATGTTGAAAAAATACCTGTCATTATAAAGTAATCTATATAATGGTGGCTGAGGCTTGATTAGGAGGATAAGACAGTGTTTTTTTAAAATCCCTTGCAATTCATAATGTGATTAATGCTGAAAGACAGTTTTATTTATTTAAAGAACAATTATTGGCATAAAGTGTATATTTTTATTTATTGTAGCTGACTAATTTTTTGCATATTTTTTGCATGAAATTTCAATATAACTTCAATATTTTTATTGTATAGAATTACGAAATTGTAAATTTAAAATTTGAAAAACCCCACTTATAATTAGGTTTAGATTCTTTCTTCTTTAACTGGTTTCTCAAAAAATATTTAAATTTACTGGGTAGTAGATCAATGGAAAAGAATGGTAATTTTAATAAAAAAAATGTGTTATTTTTGTCTATTAGTTTGTCTCCCATTGTCCATTTGCCATCAGTCAGTTGACCATGTCCCCTGGTTACAACAAGAGTATAAGAGAAAAATCACATAGATTTGCCATAAAGTTGTAGTTTGCAGAGTTTAAATCTGGAGTTTTATCCATCATTGAATGTTGATCTTAACTCAACTCAAATGCCCAAAATGGTTACCAAATCAAAACCATTCCAAGTGAACAGTGTGGATCCAGCCACCAGCCTTTTGCAGACATTAGTCATTCAATCCAATGTAGTCATATCCATCTCTCTCTTCACTACTGCTTACTGGAGTTCAACCTTTTAAAAATACTTTCAACTAAGCACTTGCAGACTTTTTGTCCATCAGAGTAGATTTCAATTTAAATCATTTTAACCTATGATACAAACTGTTTTTTTGGAATGTTTTTTTAAAAATCTCTCCCAATGCTTCTTTTTAAAATATTAGATTTATCCACGTCTTTTTTCAAACTTATGTTCTATTTAAATCTTTAATTCAAAAATAAATCTTTCTTTAAAAGATGTATTGTCTTCTATTATTATTATTATTTATAACTTCCAGATTTAAATTTGATCCATAAATATACTGTTCCTTTACATTCCTTTTCTTTATAACCCATTTTTTTCATATTGATCACATCCATATTTAAGCTTTTCTCATAAATTTTAAGCTTTTCAGTTGTCCATAAATTTTGCCCTTCTTTAACACCACAGATCAGCTTTGCCCTTTCAAATTCAACCTGATTCTCTTTCTGGTATGCCATGCTAAGGACTGTGTTATTTTTCCCATTTCCACAAGTCCTCCTTGTATTCTCTAATTCTCTTATCCAAACTTCTTATTGTGGCTCCTATATAAAGCATTTCAACCTCCTCTTTTTCTCACTACTGGTATCCTATAAACCCTCTGCCCTATCTTTCTCTGGAACCTATCATTCTCATTTCACAAAACACTAAATATTGTCTTACTTCTTTTAAACACTATCATTTTCTTTGCCCAAAAAAAAACATTGGATGGAAATATTTATTTCCCTCCAATGTTTTTTCTTTTCTCATTTCACAAAATTAACCAGGATCCTACTCTCTTCTTTCTCTTTCTAGTTTCTTTCACTCTTTTTTTTGGCTTTCTTTCCAATTTCCTCTCTCCTCATAAAATTATCACTATATCTTTAATCTTTTTAAGCTCTTCTTCTAAGTCATCACTCTTTGATGTATCAATGCCCTATGGATTAGCATCCTAATGGCCTCCAAGTATACTGTTCAGGGTCCTGAGATTCTCATGGTATAATATATATAGCAGTTTATTTGTGGCTTTTCTATAAACCTTTGTGACAATTTTTATATACTTTTATGATATTTACATCCAAAAAATGTTTTGATGACTGACACCTGTTCCAAATTAAATGGGTGAGGTCTGAAAATGTTTTTACAAACCTTTCAGTCCTGCTCATATCTTTCCACATCATTAAGGTATCATCAGCATATCAAACAATAAGCTCCAAATTCTCTTACCAATTTGGAGCTGAATTTTATAAATTTTATTTAACAATTATAGATACTCAAGGACTAATACAAAAATTTTTAAAAGACATCTTAAAATTGCTCTGAAGTCTGTAATGAAACTGAACTTTTTCATCTCAAATGCAAAACAATTTTAATTTTACTTAATATCTATCATATAAAAGTTCTTAAAAATTGCTAACTAATAATGATAAATAAAGCTTATTAAGAAACTGATTAACTTTTTAAATGCAAAAATATTTGTTTTTACATGAAATGCTGATTTAGAAAATTTTTTTCTTATTGATTTTAATTACAGCTACTTCTTGGCTTAAGATATGATCAATGTGCCAATATAAAACCCTATTACAAAAGAATTATAAAACAAATTGTAAACATTTACTTTAAAAAATTAGTGAGACAAAATATTAACATTTACATGTTTTAGTTTAAAGATAGTTCTGGTTTATGACAACTAAAATAGTTGTTGGACTAGAATTTTGTTCTAACAATCAGTTCATGAGAGGAGCCACATCTGTACTCACTTTCATTTTTTAATTTTTATGGCTATTTCATATAAAGAAAATGAAATGAAATCATTTAATGAATATGAATTCTGTATAGAAGAAATTATGTAGTTGTACAATGTAATACATTAATAATGAATATAATAGTTGATTCAAGATTCTTATAAAAAAAATCCTTTTTAATATTATAAAATGTCTTAAATCTGTGAGTAGACTTTTAATTTTAAATTTCATTTTATTATTATTATTATTAAATAAAATTTGAAAATAAAAAAACACATCTGTTTCTTAACATTTATCAAAAATCTGAAAACATAGCAATCATTTTAATTTTAGCACAGTTAATTATTAATGCTGCTTTCATTGATATTTATGTGAACTTACTTTTCTTCTGTCTCTGAACTACTCAAAGAGCCATCTGAACTAGTTATCTTTGCATTTCTTGATTTATATGGTTGTGGAAAAATAGACCGTGACTGAGATAATGTCTTCTGATTTGCCATTTCTCTTTCCCAGTGCTGTCTTCTCAGTTCAAGTAACTTTTTACGTTTGGGATAATGTGGATCTCTCTCCGACATCTTAACAAAAGGTTTTTGCTGAGGCGGCACACCCCATTTTACCGGCTGCTGTAAATATTCATAATTCTTCTGAGATGCTTTTGTTGGTTTATTATGTTGAATTCTATTCTTCCTGGATGGTCCAATACTTAATAATGAACTAGATGTACTATAACAAACACAATGAAATATGCATTACAGAATTAATAATCTTATAAATTTTACTTAATAAATACCTTAAAGCCGAATCTCCATCGTCAGCAATCCACTGATTTACATAAGCAAAATCTGTTTGTGTTCCAAATTCTCTATTTTTGTTTTTTGCTTTTTCCCTCATTCTTACAACTGTGGGAGTTAATATTCTGTTTTCAATGTAGCCATGTGTTTCTGAAGTATCTGTTGTTTGCACAGAAAATTCTCGAAACTTTTCAGAACATGAATTTGTAACATTGTCATTCTGCTTGGAATAAATAGTCTTCTGTGGTGACAGTTTGGTAACTGTGAGAAAAAATTTTTTATTTTATAAAAATTATATGTATTTAATCAGCCATTTAAGATATAATTTAAATGAAAAGAAATATACACAAAATTCTCAAAAGAAAATAGATTATTTAATGAAATTTTGAGATATTTAATTTTTCAAAGTTTTGAGAAATCAATATACATTTGATATACAGTAAACTCAAATTATATGAACATTAACTTATTAGAAAAGTGATTTGGATAATCAAAAAATTTGCATAATTTGATTAAGTAAACACATTATCCACAAATAAAACTACAGTCAAACCTCAGGTTACAAATGCTCCTGTTTACAAACAAACAAAATTTGGTTCACAAACAAAATTTTGAACACCATATTTGCTCTGGTTGCATACAATAACTCAGTTTCCAAACAAGCTACTCAGGAGAGCCGGCCACCGATCGTCAACTTCCTATACTTTCTATGTTAAAGAAAGTCAACACATGACCAATCAATGACAGGACTACCTACTCAGAAGTTAGTGGCACTGAGATCGCCTCATGTCACCTTACATCGACAACGTTGCTATTTAAATTACATTTCAATGCACATGCAGGAAAGATATTTCCATTTTTTGGTATGCATTATAGCTGAATTTAAATCAAATTAATTAATAAAAACAATGTTAATTGACATTAACATAGTATAAATGGCATCCAAGAATTCATGTTTAAATATGCTTAAGTTAAATTAAATAACAAAAATTTATTAACATAATATTATATAGCCTTTATAGGCATTTTATGCATGAAATACAGCTAAAAATTTAAAAAAATGGTTTTGTTTTGGGGGTTGGGGATGGATTAATCCAATTTACATTGTTTCTTATGGGAAAATTTGTTTCAATTTGAGAACAAATCAATTTCTGAACAACTTTTAGAAACAAATTAAGTTTGTAAACCGAAGTTTGACTGTATTACAATACACTACCTTATAGTAAGTAATAAATACGCTTTGGAAATTTTCTTTCCTTTCTTTTTTCAATTAACTATTTCTTCTATGACTGCATTGTTAGAGAGATGTTTCTGTTTGTTTGGTTGTTTAGAACTGGCAGTAAAAATCCTATAATAATGTGTGATAATCATCTTGTGATATTTCTGATTAAGTAGTTTCTACAAAATGTAATTCAAATAATTTAATAAGACTTATAAGTTATTTAAATCTGCAAATTGTTAATAATACTTATGTTATTGAATATAAACCAACAAGACTAATATTGCTGATGTGTTCATTAAGCCATTGTCTAAAAGCAAGTTTGATATATTTATTGAAAATTTTTTAAATGACAGAAATTAGTGTTGTGAATTCATATTGTATGTTACTGCCATGGGGATATTGTTATTATATAATTTGGCAAAGTGATATATTGATATAAAAATGTTATAAAAAAATTGTAAGTTATAAGTAAGAGAGCCTGAGAGAGGGCTTAGTGGCAAATTAAGCAATGTTGCTAACTCATTGTTTTTTAACTGTGTAATGTAAGTTGTTAAGTTTATATTTAATAGTGAGGTGAAGTTTTAAACACGAAAATGCATACATCGGACATTCAGTGCCGCTTTCCCAGAAGCATAGGAGTTTGACAATGGTGTTTGGAATGTCAAGCGTGATTCCACCAACTATCCAAACACCATTGTCAAACTTCTAGGCTTATGGGAATGCGGCGCCGAACGTCCAACGTACGCATTTTCGCATTTAAAACTTTGGCCTCAACCTTGCTAATAATTAAATTGTTAAACTTCATAACTGCTCATCTATTTGATACTTTTTTAGAACACAATTGTGATTTGTAATGATAATATATGTAGTATAAATTAAAGGAGAAAAGAGTTCATACATAAGTAGGCCTAAAAACCGTAACTGTTTATGTTATTTCTCATTGAATAAGATCCTAATATTTTTAGAAACACGCAAGCCTTAATAACAACTTTGCATCCTTCGGCAAAGAGAGGACACGTTTCTTCACATATTCAATGCAGCATTTGTGATGCCAAACTTTTCCAACATATTCCTGCAGTTAATGTTTATTTTCAGGCCTCTTCTATGAAAGTTTTGAGTCCATAATATGCCAAAAGTTCTCAAAAGGATTGAGATCAGGATTGTTACTGGTCAGCTCAGGTATTTGATCTGGATCTCAAAGGAATTTTTGACTTTCTGGCTGTTATGTATATAACATAGAAAAGTATTTTACCTAAACAATAGTTTTTTCCTGTTTAAGTGACAATAATGCTAACAGACCATAAATGACACATTATTCACCATTATTCACAGTGACATGGAGCAGACTCATTCTGAAAGATGCAAGCTTTTGTGTCACAACATTGTTCCTCAATCGGTGAAATGAATTAGTTTAACAGATAAGATGTTTTTGTAATATTCTCCATTCATAGACTTATTTTCACAGTGTAGTATGACTACACCATTTGATTGACTGGAAACTTTACTGTCCTACATCAATCATCCCTGTTATAAGCCTTATCTTTTCTATACCTAACAGAGCTTGCTGTCTGATCCATTCACGTTGAATTTGGATTCATCCAAAACCTAACAAAATTCCATATATAAACACTCCAGTCTGCATGCTATTTGGCCAAGAAAAGTTGTCTGTGCATTTTACTTGTCAGTAATGGTTTCTTATGTGGCTTTTAAATGCATATTGCACAGTTTATGTACTTCGTATTTACACCTGTCTACTCTTTCCATCTTACTTTCAGTTCAGAAAAACTAGTAGTACACTCTCATAGGATAAGATGCCTCACCATCCTATCCTGACACAATATACTCACATGTTTACTTCCTGGTTCAGCTTTTCTTTCAACATTGCCATGTTTACATCTCTTGTAACAAATGGACAATTGTTGATTGATGATAATGCACACTTGATTGATGATAATGTACATATTTCATGAACTGATAAACTCTCAGCATTCAAAGCAACAATTACATATTTTTTACACAGTGTTAACTGTCTAAAATTCTCCATTTTTCTCATAACATGCTCCACCTTCACACAGATTTATAACAAGGGACGTCCCAATACTGATACCATATCAATACTTTCCTCCAACACCAATATTAGTATCAATATTTTCCCCAGGTATTGAATCTGACATCATTACATTTTCATAAACAGGTAAGGTCTGCCCAAAACCAGATTTTGCAGCCAAATCAGAAACCAAAATAAAATTTTACAATAATTTCAGTTGAGATAAACTTATACAAAAAATATTAATGACTAAAAATAAAAAAAATATATTATGTCAAATTTCATTTCCAGAATTTATGTCTGCTTAGAGTTCAGATTGCTATTTATAAATGAATACAGTAAAACCTCGAAAACTCGGCTCTCGATAACCCGGCACTCCGAATAACTCGGCCACACCCTGGCAGGGCAGAAAAATCCTTAGTTAATTAGTTTTCATTACAGACAGCTTTATAAAAGTATAAAAGCTCTCATAAAGTATTTTTCTGAGGTCTGTCTTATCAGGTAAATTACTGTACACAGTGTATTTATTAATTTTCATTTTCATGTAGTAAAGGCTCTATGCGTTCATAAAGGACGTACTTTTCCTTTGTTTAAGGGTATTTGGGCAGTTTATTCTTTGTTACATTCTCAAGTAAACAATACATACAAGTACAGTACAGTATTTTCTGAGGAAACACTTGTACTTATTTTTTTTAACCCCATTCCCGATAACACGGCATTTTCACAAACTCGGCCACCCTTCGGTCCACATTAGGCAGAGTTTTCGAGGTTCTACTGTATTTAATTAAACATTATGCAGTACTTTTGTTTGTTAATCAGCTTGGACCACTGATGTTGTTTAAAATGAACTACAATTTTTATATACTTGTTTGCACTGACCCTTGAAAATTCGAACATAGTAAAGAACTTTCAATGTAAAGACACTGTTTTACCTCTTCACCAATGACTTCTTATCCATCCCTATCCTGTGTTTACTAGTACCCACAGAGCTCATTAGCAGGACTACAGATCAGGGGATTCTTTTGTGTACATAAGACATCTTATGAATGTAAACTAAAGTACTGACTGACTTTCTGATCTACATACTCTGGGAAATTAAATCCTGGCTAAGCAAAAAAATATTAATTACTGCTCTGGGGCTCATTCAGTCTTCATTTGATGAAGGCTGAGTGAGCCCCAGTTCATTTTAATGAGTACAGTACACCTATCCATTTTTCACGTGGTCTATTTTTATGTGATTTTGAAACAACATGGTCAACAAAAGATAACTAATCCTCTTTTTACGCAATTTTTTTTACATATAAAAAACAGTTTATTTGAACAAAAAAATAAGCAATTTACAAAAGAAACACAAGCTTTACACACAAATATTATTAATGATAAATGATGTTAGAATTTTATTATTCTAACATCATTTATCGTTAATAATATGTGTGTGTAAAGCTCGTGTTTATTTTGTAAATTGCTTATTTTTTTGTTCCATTGAAGTTGTGGATCCTATTGAGCATTTTTCTAAAAGATGTACGTACTGTACTTTTCTATGCAATTTCTTTTTACACGGCATTCTTTGGAATGTATCTACTGTGCAAAAAGAGGGATAGGTGTACCTTCCAAGCGGTAAAAACAACTGGAAGGCAACACGACAGAACAGTGACAGCCAGCAAGATTTCCAGTTTCTATATCCGATGACGATACTGGGCCAGTATCAATACTTTAAGACTGATACCGATACTTTGAAACTACTCATGATACAAGTATCGCTACTTTTGCAGTATTGGGAAATCCTCATTTATACCAATGGATAATACAATCACCAAAAACGTTAATGCAGTAGATTTTGTCAGGCAATGAAAAGTGTCCTAGTATTTATGATGTCATGGGTAATGTAATTTTATGGTTTCTCACAGGTCTGCAACAAAATGATACTTTAAAGAAAAACATATTTCTATAGGATTTTATGAATTATACAATTTCCATAGCTGATACTGTAAGTATAATAGTTATACTATTGTGTAACATAGTAATAAAATTAGTTATGTTAAATGTGCAAAACTTAAATAATTCAGACAACCAGAAGATGCAAGAAGTATACATATGCCATAAATTGTTATAATGCCTTTAATATTTTAATTTATATTAACACTTGAAGCATATAGCATTAACATGATTTCATTAATGATAAATATATGCTAAATGATCTGTTTTCATCCTGACATGACAGTTAAATTATATAAGAATTATAGGTATGTAAAAGAATAAAGTATTTCATCACATACTCTATATTTTTAGTTAAAATTATTCACTTTTATATTATATTTTTCTCATTTCTTTGCTATTCTTAATTATTTATTACATATTTTATAGTTTTGCATTCAGAACTGTTAGAATTTGAGAAAGAATTTAAAAATATTAACTGGATTCTGTTAAAGTAAACAATTTCACATTGTATTTCATCAGAAATTTATTAACAATTTATTAAATTCATATGGTGATGTTTTCAGACCTATTTAATATTCATCCTTAGACTCAAACTGATAGACCATGTTTTATTTTAATTTTATATAATATGCTTTTCAAAATTTTTTGGTGATGCTCTATTTACGATTTAGAATGTTTTGTTTTCTTGTTACATTTAAATACATAGAACGTATGTCCTAATTTGTAATTTCATTTTATGCGATACGATTGCTTAAAGATGGGCATTAAATATATCCAGAAACATCAGCATACAAAATTAATATACTACAAGAGAAATAAGATGTGAATTGTTTACTTTGTTTAATTTTCATAACTAATGCTAATTTTTTAAACGTTCTATTTTATTAACTATTCTTTGTTCAATTTATATGTATGGTGAAGATGGTTTTAAGTATGGCTGAAAATATTTTATAGTATATTTAATTTTATATTTAGAACTTTAACCTGATTTATTGCAGTCAATACATTTTATATATGTATATATATAGAAATAATCAAAAACTAACATTAAAACAGATTTCCCTAGTACTTTCAGGAAATTCTTTACAAGTTCTAAGTACAGAATTGAGTTGAAAATCAAGAATATTATTTCATTTCAAATTTCTAAATTTTGAACATCTAAAAAATTTAATTTTAAAAAAGCAGACAATTCTCACTTGTCTATATGTATTTTTAGTTTCCCAAAACAAGAATTATTATTATTTTATAACTAACTCTTATAGTACTTTTAAATAATTAACATTTACATATCAAACTTCTAAGCTATCATTTTTAAATATTTGATATAATCTGATATAGTACTATATCCTAACTAAATAAAATTACATTTGACACATCTTGGAAAATCTGCTTTAGTTTTTTATGATAAAAACTATAACTTTATTTGTTATGTAAATAATAAATATCATACTTTTACTTTCTTCATTTTCAGAAAGAGCTTTATCAATATTAAATACAGAATCCTCTGAACTCCTTAAACATATTTCACTGCTTGATTTTTGAGATCTTTGTGCTTTACTTGCTCTTTTAGCTGCTTCTGCTGAAGCCTGTGCTTCTTCCATTGCTGCAATCAAAAGTTTTCTTTTTCTCTCTTCTTGTTCCTACAAAAATTATTATTAAAATATAAATAATTCACTAAACAAAGATATGCTAAAATGTTATAACAAACATTAGATTATTTATCATTTAATTTTAGATATTTACAAGAATGGTCAATAAGTAATCTTAACTTTCTATGCAGTAACCAAATTCAATATTACAAAAAACATGACATCAGTTTTTGATACAGTTTCTCTGGCAATCAATGCTAGTATGCCTTCTTTTGGATAGTACTTAAATTTTAAAAGAAAAATCATCTTCAGGACTGAGTGCAAAGTCATTCATGCATCTCCTTCTGTACTTCATTTAACCAAAATTTCCAGCCTATGAGAATCTTGTTCATGAGTCCAGAAACTGTGATAATCCTAAAAAGCAAAGTCCAGAGAGTACAAGGATACAGAAAACATTCATTAATTTAAATCATCATCCCTTCATTTCCAGCATTAGCAGCTTGGACACACAGCAGCCATTTTCTTATAGTAACAAATTACAGATGACAATGTACACAAGATCAACAAAATTATATGTAAAATCCTAACTAGCTCTGTCACAAAGATGTATTCATTTTGCAAATATACTCATCTGCAGCTACAATCACATGGAGTGTGATATCTTGCAATCCACTGGACTATGGAGAGTCAGCCACATTTTTCATACTATTCTTGAGCTTATCTTTTCAGCAAATGTATAAATTGAGCCATAAGTAGGCATTCCTATACGAAACCAGAATTTGCTAATAGATGTCAACATGTTTTATGCCCTCAGCTGTCAGAAAACAAATAAGATTTTCCTTGTTGCAAACTTCTAGGAAACATCACTCCCTTGTACTACTGGCTGTACTAACGTGACTGCACTAGGAACAAAGTCTGACTTGCCAAGACATGCTCAATAACATATTGAGCATGTCTTGAAGTACATGAAATATGTTATTGAACTAATACAACTTAAAAACTGTGAGAAAATTTCTGGTTGTCATTTTTGAATATCTTATAATTTTCAGACATTTTTTTCTTTGGTGTGTCAGTTAGGCAAGTGTAGATAGTAAGATATTTGTTTTGTAATTTTGTAAATAGTCTAGTTTCGAATTTCATATTACTTGTCAGATTTTGTGGAGATAGTCTTAAGAATAGTTCTAAGTTTGTTTTAAGTTGCCAAGTGTCATGAAAGTTTTGTGAATTGTTTTTGGTTTTGAATTAAATAAATTTTTGTTTCATTTTATAACTTGTCTAGTTCTTATTTTCTAACACTTCCTATTTTGTATTAATAACAATTGTACATAGTACAGTCTCTAGAATAATAAATCTAGTTATTTTTTTCATGAATAGTTGGAAATAAATCAAAAATAAATACTTATAGACTCTCACCTAAACACAAAATTTCCAGCAAAACACTCAAATTCAACATTAAAATGTTCTCAGTCACTCCTTAATTAATCAGCCTTCTTCAGGAAAAGTCAAACGAAAATAACAGTTCTATTTATAGAATGTAGCTGCGTTCTACACGTAATTTAAAAAAATTTTTTTAAATTAGTTCAAACAACGGCTGTGACAAATAGTAAGCAGCGTATATTCCTTTAAGAGTCTAAATAATACTTCCATGCATTTGGTATGGGAATGTAATCCATGTTGATGCCCGCACCTCTTATGCCAGCCCTGTAGATTTATGTGGCCTCTAATATTCTTGTGTGTTGTCTGTCGAATAGTGTATTACGGTAGCCTTGTTCCATAAGGGGAAGGTTATTATTGGTGACATACTAGACCAGGAAATTCCTGGCCCAGTATACCACCGATCCAGGAATTTTCCCCTTATGGGACAAGGCTACCCTAATACACTATTTGACAGACAACACACAAGAATATTAGCGGCCGCAGAAATCTACAGGGCCGACATAAGAGGTGCGGGCATCAACACAGATTACACTCCCATACCAAATGCATGGAAGTATTATTTAGACTCTTAAAGGAATATAAGCTGCTTACTATATGTCACAGCCGTTGTTCGAACTAATTTAAAAAAATTTTTTAAAATTATGTGTAGAACGCAGCTACATTCTATAAATAGAACAATTATTTTTTTGACTTTTCCTGAAGGCTGATTAAGGAATGACTGAAAATATTCAAATGTTGAATTTAGGTGTTTTGCTGGAAATTTTGTGTTTAGGTGAGTGTCTATATATATATATAGTTCCAGTTTATTGCTGTGGTTTTTATAAATAAATACCTAACACTAAGCAGTATTTCTATGAACAAATTTGTTTGTGTCTGCCTGTTTAAAAGTCCAGGGGCCGTATTGTGGTCACTGTCTCTCGTCTCTCGCAAGCGACGAGAGACCAGAGACAATGACCAGAATATGGCCCCAGGTCTGGAACCAACCGATCTTCATTTTTGGTTTACGTAACAGCATAAACATCATAAACATTAGGTTATTTCTGGGTATCAAAAAATTAGATGTTACATAACTGGCACTCAAATAGGGACCAGTTGGTTCTAGAATTTTGGTTTGAACAGTTTTTTGGAATCAATATTTAAACAGAATTTGTATTTGAATTGATAAGATGCTTGTGAACTCTATCCAACACCTAAATAGTAAAAAGGGCAGAAAATATGTCTACAAGTCATTCAGAATTTGTTGCTTTGCAACAACAGTTAACAATCCTAACTCAACATGTAACTGCTTTGACAAAAGCTTGTCAAATATTGCTTCATGTCTGTCTTCTTGAATCACTGAAATGCCAACAGAAAGAGTGGAAGAAGCAACACTTCCTGTGTACCCACTAATGACCATGTCCTCACCAGCTCTGGTCTTGACCACACCCACTGTTAACCAACCACCAGTAATAGTCATCAATAACAACCCAACACCTGTAAAGAAATTCAAAAAGGTACTTCTGACTACTCAGTAACCAATTTCATTCATGATCTGGAGCAACATTTCTATGTGAACCAGATCCCAAGTACTCAATGGGCGGACACTGCCTTCTTTTTACTGGAAGGAATCCTCACCAATTAGTAATGCAAAACAAATAGGTTTTTATTAAACACTTTATTGTCACAAGACCTCTGTTTGGCAAGGCACCACAGAGATTACAAAATACCAATGTTCAGAGAATAGTACAAATAAAGTTATATGGATTATATACATTCAAATATCAGATACAAAGAGAAACTTAAGCTATTATTACATAGGAACCACAGTAATTATTTTAGAATTTGTATATGCATGTTAAATGCCTATATACCATTATACAAATTCTATTATCAGATCAGTTGTGCATATTTTTATCTACACAAAAAACAAAAAAAAAACAAACATTTAAATTAAATTTTATTTCAATCTATAATGTATTCATCATTATTTTGTACAATGTTTTGCCATCTTGATGGTAGCTTTTTAATCCCATCTTCATAAAATGATTTTGGTTTTGAATCAAAACATTCAGAAAAAGTATTGCTGACACTATTCTCATCCTTAAAAGTTTTCCCTTTTAAAAAGCTATGCAAACTACAAAGAAGATGATAATCACTGGGAGCAATATCTGGCAAATATGATGGATGAGGTAAAATTTCCCAGTTGTAGCATTTGAGTTTTTGTACAGTTATTTTTGTAGCATGTGGTCTGTCATTGTCATTTTGCAAGAGAACCTGTTTTCTGTTAACTAACGATGGTCAATTTTTTAAAATTTTTCATTTAAAATGCTCTAATTGCCCACAATACATTTGAGCTGTAATTGTTTGATTAGGTTCTAATAGCTCAAAGTGAATTACACCCAACATATCCCACCAAACAGACAAAATAATTTTTTTTTGATGCAACCCATCTTTTGCAGTTGGTTTTGATTGCTTGTCACAATCTGTCCATTGATTTTTTCTCGTCACATTATCATAAAGGATCTATTTTTTATTTCTAGTAAACAACCAATCAAGAAAAGTTTCTAAAGCAATATGGAAAAAAGAGATATGCAAATGTTTACATGTTGTCAATTACCTATTGACAGTTCATGTGGTATCCATCTTCCTAGCTTTGAAAGTTTTCCGATCTGGTGTCTATAAACAGTTCCATGGGATGAATTTAAATGTTTTGCAATTTCATCAACTGTTAAAGATGGTTCTGCTTCAACTAGTGCAGAGAAAGCATCATCATCAAAATCAACTGGTTTTCCTGTATGAGCCTTATCCTCCACACTAAAATCATTGTTTTTAAAACTTTCAAACCACTTCTGCACAGTCCTTACACTAATTACAGTTTGATTATATACAGTATTTATTTTTTTGGATGCATTTGTAACATTCTCACCACTTAAAAATAAAAAGTATAAAACATATCTTTTATATTCATCAGTTACTTCCATTTCAATGAAAATAAACAATTAAAATGTTCCCAATTCTGAATAGCATCATATGAATGAGATCCAATTTCACACTTCAGTGTAAAAAGTATCACATTAGATTCCCATTTTTATCAAGAAAACAAGATTTTTCTCAATCAAGGTCATAAAAATGGCACAAACTTATCCACTGACCTGAACAGATTTAACTAGAAACAAAATTTTTGATATTAGAATTTGTATACAAAGTAAAAATGAGGAAATAGTTATCTACATATAACTATATTGCTATTTAAATCAATACAGCAAAATAAACTGAAGAGGTCATATTTATAGTTAAGTACTATGGTTAATTTATTGTCCATGTGAGAACCCAGACTTCAAATTAAATGACGTAAACTAAATAATAATATAACTTCTCCATAATATAACTCTGTCAGCCAGGATATCTATCAACTTTCACACCTGGGAATATATCTTCCTTTTAGTTCTCAGTGTCAAGAAAGATGCTTTCTCGTGACCTTCTGACCTGCTGTCCCGATTTTGCCATTTAATATGACAACTAGCAGCCAGTTGAGTCAGTCGTCGCCAGTTCCTCAAGCGGGTCAATCATTTCATGTGCTACAGTTACTCCATTTTCAGATACATTAATTTACTCTATCGTCGGATACATCGTCT